GGGGTGGGGGGGGGGGGTTGATTTTCAGAATTTTTTCTGGTGTTACACTCTGTACCTTGCACCAGGAAAAGTTTAACTAGTCCATCCCTTGCAACTGCTCTTCAGGCAACTGGGGACCTGCTATGGCTGCCTCACAACCTTCTCTTCCTCAGACAAAACAAGCCCAGACTCCTCATTGTCCATCACTACCTGCCACCAGCTAGCTAAGCCTACAAACCTGGCCATCCAGCCAATTTTCAAACTAACTAAGCAAGCAGTCTATTCTTCCCAGAATTTTGCCTCAAGTTTCACAAGAAATGTTTTTGATGCTCACAGGGTTTGCTTTCACCATCAACTTTCCAGTACTAATAAAAAAACAAAACTTAATACTGACTTGCTACATCTCCTAAGAGAGCTTCCCTAAGCAGTATGGTCTACACCTTTTCTGGGATATATTTCTAGAGATGGATCTTCTGTGGATTTTCCATTTTCAGTTGATTCTATGATACAGCTACCTATTTTAAGCCTTGACATGATCCTTCAAGTATTGGCAGGAAACTAGAAAAAGAGATGAGCACTACCCACAGTACACACACATACAATATACACGTGATCTATCAACATCACAGCATGACAAATTCAACCTCTAATTAGAAATCTGATAATTTGCACAGTTACATATTACCCCAAATTAGAAAATTTCATTTATAAAGTATCATATGGATACAAAGTAACAAAGTAGGAACATGTAAGATATATATTCTATTTTGTTTACATTACTCCTCCCTCTGACACATACTTAACTCACACATTTGGAATGAGGTGAAAAAATTCTAGTTCATCCAACTCAAGATGAATGTATAGAAGAACTGTATTTGTTTGTTTTTTTTTTTTTAATCCTGTGATTTAATCTATTCCTTTTTTCTTCAGTTACTATTTTGAGTTCAAACTTGCACTGTTACCTTAGGCACTGAATATCATACACTATTTGGCTGCTGGCTAAAGGTCTTTCTGCCTTTCACATTATGTTAAGGACCGAACACAGATGAAGTGAGCAGAGAAGAAAAAGTTCTCTAATCGATCTTCAGGAACCCTCAGTTTTGGCAGCTGGCCCAACAGGGAAGGACAAAAGAAAGAAAAAGAAAGGGAGGACAGAGGTGTGGAGGGGGGGGGAGACATCAGTGGGTGACAGAGCATGGAACTGCAGTAACAGATTTAATAAAATTTCCACACAGCTGTGT